ATGCATGCACTTGCCTTTATATATTAAATGTTGTCTGTGACGTCAGCAATCTGACTTGCACATTTTCATTTAGTCGTTGAGCACTTTGTAGCGTGTCTGTTTACAGTGACAATTTACCGTGTTTATGAGATCGAATCTGCCTTGTATTCACATTCATGATATGTACGCCATTAAGGAAAGAGACACTTGTATCCTATTCTTAATAATATAATTACCCTAATGAAATACACTACATTGTTATGATTTAAACAGTCACAGAAAACATAGCAAATAGTTACTTATATTGCGAGGATTGTTGTTTCTTGTTTGACGTCAGCAGATCAATTAGATTACTGGAACGCTACATCCTGTCACCAATAAATCAACCAATTGATGAATATTTGTCAACTTTATGGAATGCATAATCGTGTATACAGGAGATGAATAGCTATATGCACAATTATACATTTCCACAAAAGTGTTAGTAAGCTTCATGGTAATGCCAGCACAACATAAGATTATTCTGAAAACAAAATCATAGGTAGTGTTCATCACAACAAAAATACAGTAAGTCGATAATTGATCGTATGGATTAATTTGCGTTAATATTCAATTAGTCATCAAACATAACGATGGTAAAGTATCGTCAAGTTAGAATAAATTTCACAAAAATCAACAATATAGTAATAACTGAAAAAAAAAGATAAACGTATTTATTGTGAAGTGATACATCATTCATTACGAAGATTGTGATAAATATAATACATGTATAATATCTCCCAATACTTAATTACACAATGAATCTCCGCTGTAAAAGACTACATGCAATAAATAGTATATAGGAGTTTGAAGACATACCTGTCGTTGTAAACATGTTGAAAATACTGACAAATGTGAGCCAAAAAAATACATATAGTGTTCTCAATAGGTGAAGTAAAATCAAAGTATACACACACCAGTAGTCCCATGTATATATATATATATTCATTCACATGACAACGCATATAACTGTGTTGAATCCTATTATAGGATTAATGAGACATATTGCAGGTGGTAGGCCGTTAATTAAAATATAGACACGCTTAATGCCTGTAGTTTAACATACCACATACACTTTATTTTTATGGTAAATTATGACTTTACACATTAATGAAAAACAACTCACTCCATAATGCTATTTAGAATTCAGTTTTGAAAATTGACATCAGGTGATGGTTACCTGTCTGACACTATAAAACAAACCATACTTAAGTATATAAGTATCAAACATTTATAGAATGAAACACTTTTAACAAGAGCCACAATGTAGCGTGAGTATTAGTCTGTTTCACTTCATGACCAGTGTGTTTTTTATAACACAAATGACACAAATAGGTTTTTGCAACACAAAAAAGTTGTATTCAGAGAGAGTGAATACCAAATGTAGATACTAGTAAAATAATATTGAATAGCTACGCGAACATTGTTCTAGTTGCACACGTAATAGCATAGTTCAGGTGGCAGCATAAGATGTGTTGTTAATCGATCAGACAGATGTCACAGACAACGGCAGGTCAAGTATTGTCGCATTATTAGATTATTATGCATTAGCTCGCTTGAAAGTG